CTGCAGAGGGGCGGGATATAAATAAATATTATTATTATTATTATTAAAGGGGAAAGGTTGCTTACCCCTGCCATATAGGGTTGGCTGCCAGAATGGAAATCATAAGAAAAATGGAGGCTGGCAAAAGAAAAAGTAATTCCTGGATGTTCAAAGTGTTTTCTTTATTGATGCAAGTCTTACCAGACCTTTCATTTCACATGTGCATATTGTTAGTTTTGAATTACAAGTTGCTGAAATCTGTTGAATTGCTCCTTTTTTTTGTGGTGTAGCAACCTGTCCCTATTCTTTCCATGTTAATTCTGCCTGTTACAAACTTTTGCTGTTAAAAAAACCAACACCCAGGAACACATCTACTTTGTTAATGGAGTGTATGCCTCTAATTCAGGGCTAGGCAACCTTTCCCCTTTAAGGGCCGAGGGACTTCAGCTCCCAGAAGCCTCAGCCGTGTTGGCCAGTAGTCCCATGTTGGCCAATAGCTCCTGGGATTCTGGAAGCTGAAGTCCCTCGGCCCTTAAAGGGGAAAGGTTGCCTAGCCCTGCTCTCATTACTATTTAAATGTCAATATCTTGGTTCTTATAGGTAATCTTGAGAAGAGTCATTAAACTATTGACTGTGCATGTTTTCCTGAGTTAGGAATTTCAGAAAAAAAGTTATGTCTTTATTCATCCCTATCTACTTTTGTATAATGTTGCACAACATCATGTGCATTGTAGTACTGAAGCCATGAAAGCAGTCATTCTTATGCATGTCTCATGTTGTACTTAATATTGATTGTATCACTGAGGTTGAGTTCCATTGCAATTCTTCTGAGAACAGAGTTGATAGGAGTGTTTATGTTGCATTATTTTTCTCAATTTCATTTTTTAGTGAGACCAGATAAAAACAGGGTGAGGATTAAGATGTGGGATGAAGGAATAGTATTGTTTTATGTAAAGAATAGGAGTCCTTATGTGAGTCCTGGCACCACAAAGGACGTTTTCACATGAAAACGTCCAAAGCCGCCTGGAGCCATTCTGGAACGGATCCTTCCGCTCATTCTGGAATGGCTCCGGCGGTGGCAACCTAATTCCTTTTTTAAAAAGGAATTACAACTCCGGCGCTGATGCTGGAGTTAGAGCTAAAAGGGGCGGGGCTTGCTGCAATGTCATGTGAACACGCGCAGCAAGACCCGGACTGACGGCGGCTAGCGCCGGGGATGGCGCTGGATGAGGCGGGGCTTGCTGCGATGTCGTGTGAAAAATTTGTCAATGGAGCCGGAGTGGGGCCGGATGGAAGTGGGATTGCATCCTCCTAAAGCCCCGTGTGAAAACGCCCAAAGAGTGGGAGGGACAGAAGAACTAAATACATACATCCTTCCTGGAAAATCTTTGCAACAACAAATCAATTACAGCTTCAAGTTTACAGCAGACCTGCACAACTTGGCATTAGGAAGGGGCCAAACTTAAAATAGGCTAAACTTCTTCAGGCCACATATCGGTTTTAATTATATTCCTCCTCTGTCTGGCCCTTTCCCCAGGAGAAAGACAGATGATGGAGGAGCCTTGCAGGGTAAGCATTTGCCCATCCTCCTACTCCCGCTATCTCGCCTCCTCCTCAGGAGAAAGCCAGGTGGTGGAAGAGCCTTCAATTTGCCAATCCTCCTCCTCCACTACCTGGCTTTCTCCTTGGGAGAAGATGAGCCTTACATGGTGAGTGTTTGCCTTTCTTCCTCCTCCTTCACATGGCCCTCTCCTCAGGAGAAGACCAAGCAGCAGAGGAGCCTTGAAGTCATTCCACATCCTTGTGGGGCTCCAGAAATCCTTTGGTGGGCTGCATGCGGCCCCCAGGCCGTATGTTGTGTAGGTCTGGTTTACAGCAAGCTCATTCTCTACTAGATGGAGATTTGCACACAGCCCTTCTCTTGCCTGAAGCTGAACCCACAAAACTGGAGAATATGCACTCTTATCTTCTGCCTGGAGATGAAACATAAAATGGGATATTTAGGGCCAGGTGCTGAGATCTGGCAACCCTAATATAAGGCAACTGTATGGGTACAGGGCTTTGCTTATCCCTACTTTTATTCCTCTCCTCATATGGAAAATGACTTTCTGAAGATAAGAGCTTCCTTCTTACAAGGAGGTTTCCCAGGCAAATGGGAATGCTGGAAAAACTAAGGTGCACAATCATGTGGAGCAGGGGTAGGCAACCTTTTTGAGCCGGGGGCCGGGTTGCTGTCCCTGAGACAATTGGGGGGCCGAAGCACCAAAAATAAATAAATAAATATATAAATATAAACATTAAAAAATTTTAAAAAATTAAAAAAATATATGCATGCACACTCTCTCAGCCCCAGAAAAGCCATGGCAAAACCCCTGTGGAGATTTTGCCAAGAAAACCCCAAGAACAAGTAATAACAACAATAATCTATATATCATCATGGCGGGGGCGGTGGCGGTGGCGGTGGCGGCAGGACCGGCCTGGGGCTGGTCCAAAGGACTTGGGGGGCCGCATCCGGCCCCTGGGCCTTAGGTTGCCTACCCCTGGTGTGGAGGGTCTCCATGTTTACAAGAGATTTTCCTCTTTAGAAAGTCACCTCCTAAGAGGATGTAGGAAGTGATGATTGACGGGGCAGCACTAGTATGCTTAATTTCCTTGCATGATATCCTTACTTTCTTCAGGATTAGTGTTTGCTGTAGCTTGAGAAGAGTAGCTGAGGCTCTCAAGTGTTAAAGCAACTGAACACATTGTCTTAGAATTCAGAATATATGGCATATCATACAAGAAGCTAGATGCATTTATTAGACTTACTTCTGAGTCGATATGCATAAGATCACACTATTACCTGCTTAAGGCAACTGGTTTATTGCCCACCCAACATATACCAACACAAAACAATATTGCTTCAAAATACATATTCTAGATTGGCCACTGGATGGCAGTGTAATAATACTCTAATATATAAAGTAAAAAAATTATGAAAGGAAAAAATACCACCTTTTAAAAAAAGAAAGTTGCTTTTACAGGTGAATATCAGATTTGTTTAACTTGGATTTTAAAAAAACCTGTAGTGGCGAAAGAGACTTCAGAGGGAACTTGACATCTTTATGGGGAAAAGGCTATGTTTCTTTATTAATTTTATTTAGAACATTTATATCCTACTGTTCTGCAAATATATTACTCTGTGGCAAATCACAACAATAATTAAAAACAATTTCAGTAAAACAGACTAAATGAAAATGAAGACATTGCCATTGTCACTCAACTGCAATAAATTATGAGTAAAATCATCACAGATTTGCTAATGCCAAAGCCTGGATGGAGAAACTTTTCTTTCCTCTAAAACATTCATGACAGATGTATTTAGTGAGCAGAAATGAACAACAACTGATGGGGTCTTTGAGTGTCCAAAAGCATTTCTCAGAGCCTGCTTCTCTCTGTATCACTTCATTGGCACATCCTTAACTGTTGAGATAGGAGGAGAGGACCCCCCCTGCCTTGGACAGAGAAGCATTTTAACTTACTTCCTAACTTAGGAGTTGATCACATGGGGGGAAATTGGAAGCAAAAACGGTGATTAACCCGATTAACCTGCAGTTGCATTAATAGTTTTTGCACGACATCAGCATGCAAAGCGCTGTTATCCTGTGCAGAATCCGTGAGTAACCCACACTTAAGCACAATTGCGTGAATGGTTTTCATACAACGTTGAGAGGAAACATGATTAAAATGCCATTATCCCGTGAAGAACCAGGAAATAAACAACAGTAACTAATTCATGGAATTTCCCCATGAATGACTTTTTGCTGTTTCTTGCCTGGTTATTCCCTGGTTCTTCATGGGATAATGGCACTCGCGTTAATGTCTTTTAAAGCACGTTTTAATGTCATTTGCACAATTTTCATGGGTTAATCATTGTTAATTTATCCAGTGTGATAAACTCTTTAGAGTGAGGAAGTGTGTGATTCAGGAGTTGCATGGGGCCCAGTGTGGTGTAGTGGTTTGAGCATTGGACTGTGACTCTGAAGACCAGGGTTCAAGTCTCCAATTGGCCATGGAAACCCACTGGGTGAGTTTCTAGCCCCCCAAAAGAGAAGGCCTAGTGTGGCTGAAACACATTGGGCTTTTAAAACACTAATAAACAGTTGACCATCATTGAGCACGTGGAGCTTGTCTCCTCTTTGCTTGCTGCTTGGCTTTGTGCTTTCAGTTCATTACCTATACTGGCCTCTTTATTTGAGCCTCCTGCAAGCTCACCTTTGCAATTGCTCAGCAAATTTACCTTTAAGATTCATAAAAGAATAATATCTTTATTGGCCAACCGAAATGCACAATATACATCAGGGGTAGGCAACCTTTCCCCTTTAAGGGCCGAGGGACTTCAGCTCCCAGAAGCCTCAGCCATGTTGGCCAATAGTCCCATGTTGGCCAATAGCTCCTGGGATTCTGGGAGCTGAAGTCCCTCGGCCCTTAAAGGGGAAAGGTTGTCTACCCCTGCTTTATACATCATGTAAGCTTTCAATGCCCTACATCAGGCAAAACATTCTTCATCAGGCAAAATATGTTGTTGTTTTTAAACCATACAGGCAAAGAAAAGAGCAACTCCTCTTGGGATCCAGGGTGTCTCTGTTTTTGTGAAGCTGTAGGCCCCTTTCCTAGGAAGAAAACACTGCATATCTCAAGATGTCTCTGTACTGCTACATCTGGAAAAAATGTGTAAGGGCTGTATAGGTAAAACTCATACAGTTATAGTCCAAAGGAAAAAAGTTTTTCCTTTGTTGGAGGTAGAAACCTCAAAAAGTTAAAGTCCTCTTTTTTGATTCCCCTGTTCCCCTAAATCCCAAGAAGATCTTAAGAAAAGTTACTTTTCTGCTGCTAATGGAGCTTAACTTTTACCGTCCTTTTTCTTGATCCCCACATGGCCAAGAGGGGAGGGGCCTCTGTCTGTATTGAGTCCCTTCCCAACTGAACCACAACGGAGATGACATCTGATAAAAAATGTAGGGCTGTGATTCAAACACTGTCATTTTCTTCTCCTTTATGATTTTTAAAACATCTTTTACCTGATGAAGAAGTCAGTGGGAGTTCAAAAAAGCTTGCATGATATGTTTTGTCTATTTTGGTTAACCAATAAAGTTATTGCTCTCTTGTGGATTTTGCATTTCGCTTTATTTCCTGTGTGGCCAGCATGGCTACCTCTGAATATTTCACTTTTAAGATTGGCTCTAGTCTGAAGGGATGGTAATCTTCCTCCTACCCGAGGTCACAATCATAGATACTAGGCCAGGGGTTGGCAACTTTTGTTGATGGGGTGCCGGGGGGGAATGGCGCTGGGGCCGTCTGGGCGCATGCACGCTTGCGTGTGCGCGCTTGCCCCCATGCGCATGCGCATGATGCCCACGTCGTGCACATGTGTGCACACATGGGGGGGCACCAAGGTGCATGGGGGGGTGCTTTCTAAAATGGCACTCACTGACTGTTGTATGCATGCGCGCGTGAGCACGGGCGCCATTTTGGCATCCAAAATGGCGGCTGTGCTTGCGCACACAGGCGCACAGTGGCGGGCGCCATTTTATAACGCCCAACAGTGCTGGTGTTGTGTGCATGTGCACAGCGCTGGCACCGTTGGGCGTTCCAAAATGGCGCCTGCTGCCGTGCACCCCCGCTTGAAGTCCCAAGGCCTCTGCAGGCCGCATGCGGGCCGTAGGTTGCCAACCCCTGTACTAGGCTACTAAGGTTTTTCTGCTTGTTATTCTGATGCTATGAAAATTCTTCAGGATTGGAAGAAAATCAGTTCATTTGAGATGTGCTGCCTGAGAAGAGTGGCGAGGAAACTGTGGATGGCCAAAATGTCAAACAAATCGGTCTTAGAACAGCTCAAGTTGGGACTTTCTTTGAACGCCAAGATGTCTAAAATGAGGCTGTCATATTTTGGACACATCAAAATATGAGGAAATAAAATGAGGAAAATATCATGTGGAAAAATGAATAATTAGAAAAGACAAAGATGCTAGGAAATGGGAAAGGCAGTTGAAAGAGAGGAAGACCATATGCCAGATGGTAAGACTTGATCATGGAATACACTGGTTTGGGTTACAGGGCCTGAGCAGAGAGGTAGAGGAAAGGAGTCTTGGAGATGTCTCATCCAAAATGGCACTATGGGTCAAAGTCAACTCGAGGGCAGCTAATAATATATTTCAAGCCATAGATTGTTGAAGCCATGGATAAGGAGTCGGTGGGTACAGAATACCTTACATTTCTCCTTGTTGAAATTAATTTTGTTAATTTTGGCCCAGCTCTCTAGTCTGTTAAATTCATTTTGAATTTTGATCTTTGATCCTGTCCTCTGTGGATATTTGCTACTCATCTTAATTTGGTATCTGTAAATTTGATAAGCCTCCCTTATATTCCTTCATTCAAGTCATTGATAAAGATGTTGAATAGCACGGGGCCCTGTGGCACCCTGCTGGTAACTTCTCTCCAGGATGAAGAGGAGGCATTGGTGAGCACTCTTTGGGTTCAGTCAGTCAACCAATTACAAATCCACCTAATAGTTGCATTGTCTAGCCCGCATTTTAGTAGCTTGTTTGATAGAAAATCATGGAGGGAGGGTTGTCAAAGGGCTTACTGTAATCAAGATACACCACATCCACAGCATTTTCTTCATTTACTAAGCTTGTAATTCTATAAAAAAGATTTAAGATTAATCTGACTGGCTTTTGAGAAACCATTATTGATTTTTAGTGAACATGGCATTCCTTTCTAAGTGCTTACCAACTGTCTATTTAATGACCTGCTATAGAATCTTTCTGGTATTAATGTTAGGAAGATTGCGATTAATTATTTGGATCCTCCTTTTTTCCTTTTTTGAAGATGGGGACAACATTTGTCCTCCTCCAGTCTGGTGGGACTTCTCCTGTTCCCCAGTAATTCTCAAAGAATATTACCAGTGGCTCTGACATTAGGTCTGCTAGTTCTTTTAATATTATTGGATCAACCCTGCAAACAAATTCATTTAAACTATCCAGGTATTCCTGTACTATCTCGTTAGCTATTCTGTGTTGCATTTCTCCTACTGTATCTTCTGCTCCATTTTCCCCAGGTTCTACTTTTCAAAGAAGACCAAGACAAAAAAGGTGTTGAGTAGTTTTGCCTTTTCTCTGTCTCCTTGTAAGCATTTCTCCATCTTCTCCCTGCAGTGGTGCTACCATTTCCTTGTTCTTCCTTTTGCTATGGAAATAACAAAAAAGCCCTTTTTATTATTTTCAGCCTCTCTAGCAAGCCTGAGTTCATTCTGCACTTTAGTTTTTTTTTTAACTTTCTCCTTACACGTGCTGGCTATTTGTTTGAATTTTTCTTTGGTGGTTTCCCCATTTCTGATTTATTGTACTGTCCCTTTTAAATCTTAGCTTAGTTGAAGTTCTTTAGACACCTCCCATTTTTTTCTCCTCATTGGATCTGTTTGAAATAGTGCTGTCAATATCTCACTTTTAAGAAACTCACATCCATCATGAGCTCTCTTTTCTTTTAGTATTCCTGACTTTGGGATCACAACCAGTATTTTGCTAAATTTATTGAAATCAGCTTTTATAGTCTAGAACCCTGGTGGCGAACCTATCACATGCGTGCCACAAGCGACATGCCGAGCCCTCTGTTTCCCTTCCCTCCCTCCATCCTCTAATGACTGGGTGCCTGGTCTGGGGGTACATCTTGCTCAGGTTGAGAATCATCCACACCGTCTTTTAGCTAAATTTAGCAGCAGAAAATCATTAACGTTCTGATACATATTCACAACCATTGGAAGACCGGGCTGCTGCCAAGCATCCTGGGAGTTGTAGTCTTTTCTTTGAGCTCTCTACCTCCACTCACCTGCTTGATCCTCCCCCAAACAAACTACCAATCCCATCAGGAAGTGCAGAGCCTCTTTAGCCTCCTATCTCTTCCCCCAATTGGTCCTCCCACGGAGGGGGGGGGTCACTTGCAACTAATCAGCAGTGGCCCCTCAGTAATCGCCATTCTGCATTAATGCCCATAATTTTGCCTGGGTGGTGGCCCAATAAGAGAGGTGCGTGGCTGGAGTGGGAGGAGGGAGCGTGTGCAAGGCATGCCATTGGACTGCCTTCCCCTGCTCCACTGCCATTCACCAGATGGGTCTAATTGGGGGGCAATGACTCCTTAAAGAGACAGGTGCGGCCTTGTGTAATGCGCTGAAACCCCTGTTGAGACAAGAGTGGGGAGACCATGCTTCTCCAGCAATTGATGAATTCTTGCCCTCAAGAACCTTTTTTTGCAAAAGATTATCCCATTTGGTAAGTCTGCAACAATTTCATGGTTCAGACATCTTCTCTAGCTAATGCTGTGGCGGTGGCCACAGGGTGAATTGAACAGAGGTGTGAATCTGCAACCTCCCACATGCTATTGGATTCCCTTCTCCTCTTATCTCATGTGAAGTACTTCTGGTGATCTTCAGTCCAAGCAGTAATTGATTCTGATCCTGCTTTGCTTTCAAAATCAGATGAAATTGGGTTTGTCCATTGTGGTGTATTAGTACAGTCATACATTATTATCCTTGAGAAGGCTGTATAATTCCCCAATCCATATAATTGATAAAGAAATTTGTGTGATTAACACATAACTACTATATCTAAAGTTGAGACCCAGTCAGCATGGACAGTGGTAAGGGATTTTTGGGGATGCAGTCTATTAACATCTAGACATCTGTAGGGCCATATTTACTCACATCTGGTCTAAATAGTATGGTGGAAGAGAGAAGAAAGTTGAGATGGTGCTACTGGTGTTGCTGGAAGTATGATGTGTATTTTTTAAAAAAAATCTTGGGGCCCACTGATTTTGGCAGAAGAAATAAGGATGATTGTACAGGGGCTGATTCACATTAGACAATTATACCACTATTTTTAGTTTAACTGCTATAGTTCCATGCTATAAGATCATGGGGTTTGTAGTTTGGAGTGCTCTGGCTGAGAAACTTAAATGCCCCTTCCTAAACTACCAATCCCATGATTCCTTAGGAACCATGGCAGTTAAAGTGAAATAA